TGATATATATATCTCCAAAACTTTGTTGCATATAATTTAATGGCATTTTGTCAAATAATGCAAACTTTTATTGCTAAAAGGAGAAATAAAACGTGACCTATTGCTCTAGAAAACATAATTGGTTTTATTTAAGCCCTCGTTTTTGCTATTACGGCTTCATCGGAGCTAACACAACATTTGTATTTTAATAAAAATTTTGAAAAAAACAAACTCTATACTCCAGATACATATAAAAGAATATATTATTTTAACCAACGTCTCGCCTTTGCGGCTTCATCAGGGTTAATATTAATTGTCACAGGCTCTTCTAATAAAAGTACATTATTAGCATTCTTGTATAACTGATTCAGGAGTTAATATTAATCCTGATGAAGTCGCAAAGGCGAAACGTTGGTTAAAATAAAGCATAAAGGTCGTTTTTTCTAAACTCTTTGTCAAAATGTATAAATCCCTCCAGTACGCACTATAAATTGTGAAAGACATTTGCTAACTGATTCAGGCTTATACAAAAGATTTGAAAATAATACGAGTCTGCGCTGTAAGACGGACTTCGCCTGAGAATATATAAACAAATTGAAAGTAGATACAAGCAGACATATGTTGTTACACTAATTAAATATAAGAATTTAAAGTTCCGGGGTGATGTTTTGTTTATTTGTGGGTTATTTTCTATCTAAAAAAGTTGTGGCAGTGGGTAAGAGTGTTTGCTGTTATGGTACAATCAATATCAATTATACCGTGTTTGTCAACAAAACGTTCAGCCACAGCACTGACTTTATTATGTACTGTGTGCAGAGCTCGAAGGTGTTCGTTAGTTCTATCACTAATAGTTCTGACTGTTTCACTAACATATACAAAACCACAAAGTTTGCATATCAAACTATATACTACATTCTTATGGTTACAGTTTCTTTTTAAACCTGATTTACAACCTGTACATTTGTCTGCGGGTTTTGGGTTCAAAGGTTGATCTTACTAACACATTTTTCAAAGATCTACCTGGTTTCTCTGTAACTCTGAGGTTTTGGGTTTAAAGGTTGATCTTACTAACACATTTTTCAAAGATCTACCTGGTTTCTCTGTAACTCTGATGTTTTGGGTTCAAAG